TGCAGTGCGTTTTTGACGCGTTTTGCGTTTCCGGACCGTTTCCTGACCGTACAAAATGTGACATGCAGTATTTTTCTGTCGTAACCTGAACAGACTGCGCACGTGAGAACTGTAGCCCATAAAACACATAGGGATACATTGGGATGCATTTTTAGTGCAGGAGCGTACGGATCGTCGTGTGAACAGGCCCTAAACCCTCAGATTTTTTAACATAAACCAATACTGTAATGTGCGCCTTACTGTAATCCATGGTTGTTTCCCTTTTCTATGCTGCTCTTCCTTTTAAATCCTTATCTCTTCTCATGCTGGGGAGAACTTTCGTTTTGCAGCTGACTGCCTCTTCTCTGGAATGTTACATGGTGTCTGTGTGCTCCCGACCTGAGCCAGGACTACAGGATGACGTAATCCCGACATCCACATCCCCGCCCACTTTAGATTGGCAACAGCTGCTGCCTGCATGTGCCGTTGTTTTACTCTTTTCTGCTGTGTTCGTGTCTGATCGATTCTCCTAATCAGAGCAAGGTATTTTGTTTCTCTTTTTTTCAAACAAACTTTATTGCTTATGTTTTTTCAATGAAAAGGTTATGAAAAAACATAAGCAATAAAGTTTGTTTAAAAAACCGAGAAAAAAAAAACCTTGCTCTAATTAGGAGAATCGATCAGACACGAACACAGCAGAAAAGAGTAAAACAACGGCACATGCAGGCAGCAGCTGTTGCCAATCTAAAGTGGGCGGGGATGTGGATGTCGGGAGGACGTCATCCTGTAGTCCTGGCTCAGGTCGGGAGCGCGCACACAGACACCATGTAACATTCCAGAGAAGAGGCAGTCAGCTGCAAAACAGAAGTTCTGCCCAGCATGAGAACAGATACAGATTTAAAAGGAAGAGCAGCAAAGAGAAGGGAAACTACCATGGATTACAGTAAGGCGCACATTACAGTATTGGTTTATGTAAAAAAAATCTGAGGGTTTAATGTCACTTTAAATCTAAGCATTCTGGTTCATACCAGATTATTATTAATAATAACAATATTATTATTATTATTATTATACAGGATCTATATAGTGCCAACAGTTTACACATCACTTAAGAGCCCATTCACACTGAGCGTTTTGTAGCACGATTTCCGCTCAAAAATCGCTCAAATATGAAGCTTAATGTTGCTCTTCCAATGCATTTCATGGGAGATGTTCACATCTTGCAGCTCAATGTCGCCTGTAGCTTGTAGCTGAAGCTTGTCGATCGAACATTAGCTATTTTTCTGCAGATTTCGAGCGATTTGGTCCCAATAGACTTTGATAGACTGCCAAAAGAAGCACTGTAGCTCAATGTCGATCAGCTCAAAAAGCTTTGTCGTACAGTGTGAATGGGGTCTAACAATATAAGGAAGACATTACAGTCACAATACAAGTAAAGATAAGACTGCAATCTAAAAGGGAGGCCTTTTAGATGTGACCTTGCCCAGCACAGTCCTAACACATAGGCCTGGTTCACACCTGAACGTTTTGTAGCGTGTTCAACGCTCGACGAACGCTCTACAAAACGCTCAAACATCTAAATCCCCTTGTATTCAATGGGTCTGGTTCACACCTTGCCGTATTTCCGTCCATCTGAACGCGATACAAAACGACCTACGCCCAAAGAAGTACATGTACTTCTTTGGGGTGTTTTGGTCTCGCGTTTCCATTGGGATACAGGCAAGTAGCCCTCGGAAACGGGCGTTTGTGGCGCGTTTTTTTTTTACCACGATTTGCGGTAAAAACGCGCGACAAACGCGCATATTCAATACACCTAGGTGTGAACCCAGCCATAGGCAGGGCAGTTTTCCTTATTTACTATTCAGTTAGTTCAAACCACCAGCTTTTGTGGTATGTGCGGGGAAAAGGTGCTTTCTTTCACCGCAGCGTGTTGCAGCACAGTACGCACGGCCATCATAATGCGCTTGAGTGAATAGAACTGACTGAAATGTCCTTTATGACATTTCAAGACAGTTTGAGAAAAAAAAGAAAAGAAAACGTAAACGGGGCGATGCTCTGAAATGAGCGCATTGCACCTCTTCCTTGCGTGCACGCCGACAGTTGGGCAGTAATGCGCACTGCAGGCGTGAAAGGACCCGTAAGATCTATGACTGGCAATGACAGCACAGAGAGCAGAACACAGAGTGATCAATGCAGTGATTAGTGAATTACCTCTCCCATTCTGAGGCTGTAGTGAAGTCAGTGATCTCGAACACTTCAGATTCAGGCTGCACGGGAGAAAGTAAAGAGACAGGATGAGAACAGGCAACAAAAGAAGGGTCAAATGTATCGAAACCCAAAAGCTAAAACCAAATATGCCATTACATGTATTCCTGTAGGTAAATGCTTTTTGGTCTTGCTTATAATTAAATCATTGCAATACTAAAACTTTTAGATCTTCTGCAGCATTGTCACCTTTTGCTGTACAGTCCTCATTTGAACCACAAGCAGCTGAGTCAACGCACAATATAGAGATCTTGATACAGAATAAGCCTGCCCGTAGACATTAAAGGCGAAGTGTACATTTTACATTACCTGGCCCATGCAGACAAGGGGCCCCAGTAGTGTAAAATGCACTGTGATGTTTGGAAAAATATTCTTTATTGCAAATGCCATACCTGGAGGCCCTTCCCTTCCCATCAAGCCTGGCCCAAATACTTCCAAGGTTTACATTTCTACGTCCAAGCACAGCAGATGTTGGGCGCTCGTCCCCGGCATCATGACAAGTTCAAAAGTTCACAGGAAGCACGCTCATGCAATGTTGGGGACGAGCGCCCAATGTCTCCAGCATTGCAAGAGTAATCATGCATCCCGGTTTAAAACTTGTGCATGCTCTTTCTTCCCCCAACCCAGCAGTAGGTGAGCTCAGCTACGCACTTTTAATTAGGAATGCACCTATACGGGTTTTTCGGTATCGGGTACCAATATTTCGCTTTCTGTACTCGTTGATACCGAGTACCGATACCGGTGCTTCCACTGGCATGGAGACGGCTTCCCGGGGAATCAGGAGGCTGGGCGGCATGTAATGACATGCTGCCTGGCTTCCCGATTTCCCAGGAAGCCAGCTCCATGTTGTTTGGCCGTCTCCATGCCGATTGGTTGAGAAGCCGGCTTCCCAGCCAATCAGTATTGAGCCAGCTATTCAACCAACTCTATGCCGACTGGCCGGGAAGCCTGCTTCCCAACCAATCAGCATGGAGCCGGCTTCCTGGCCAATGAGCTTCGAAATGGCCGAAAAGCGGCCATTACTAGCAACCATTACTCGCCACCCGGGTTCCTATTTGCCCTGGAAGCCAGCTCCATGTTCCCCTGCGGCACTGCCGGTGAGAGGACATTTTCCTCTAAGCGGAAGTTCAGGTTTCGGGGAAGGTATCGGAACCGATCGTATCGGTGCATCCCTACTTTTAATGCACGATTTTTGAACCAGCAAGTGTGCTCGCTCCTGCCATGCCGGAGACATTGGGCATTTATCCCCAGCATCACATGAGTGAGCGCGCTTCCCGATTCCAAAGCCGTGCATGCCGTGTGCATACTCACTCTTCCCCCTAACCCAGCAGTGGCTGAGCTCAGCTTTGGGAAGTGACAGTACACTGTGCATGCATGACTTTTGGACCAGCAAGCGTGCTTGATCCTGAGATGCTGGAGACATTGGGTGCCCCTAGCATTATGAGAGCAAGCGCACCTCCTGGTACAACAGCCGTGCATGCGTTTCCAGGAAGCATGCTCACTCCTCTGGAAAATCTTTTTGCACAATAACTACATAAAAAAACATAACAGCGACGCAGGAAGAGTCAGACAAATCATGGAGAGGGGGCAAGGGACAGACAAGAGGCAAAGCGGGAGCAGGGAAAACAGGTGACGGTGACACCGGATGGGACGGTCAGAACTGATACAGATAGCAAGGGAACGTCCTAAAGAC